AGAAGTCCCCTCTTGCAGAGTATAGTCATGCCCCTCTCATATGCCAAAACTTGGTGGCATTGATCTCTAACAATGATAATGTAGTAATTGTGGCAGAACCTGTAATGTAGATATTTCCTAACTTTTTTACTTTCATGATAACTGGAACATCTCTGAAAACTATCAAAACTCCATCTTTAGCTAAATACTTGCCCTTGTTATTTTTAAGGGTGCTAAGAGAAATGAGATTCTTCATCAAATCTGGAATATGACAAACATTTGACAATATTCTCACAATACTATCATGCATTATAACGTTAGTTGTACCAATGCCAATTGCTTTACAATGAGAATTATTTTTCATAAGAATAACTACACCTTGAACTGTTTTGTAGGTGGAAAATTAATTTACATTGGAGCACATGTGATAGGTTCAACCGGAGGCTAAGATCCAATCATCCTTGAATCTACCTGAATTTGTAGCCAAAAGAATAAAACTATCAAAATCATCCTCGATAGCACTACGCTCTGTGAAGTCTTCTTTGACCTTATTTTTCATATTTCCTTTATTCTGAAGCTTCCAACACTCATTCGTGACATGAACTTTCTTCTTGCAATAGTTACAAAATTTGCTCTTAGCCTTCAACTTTAATCTCAACGTATTTTTATTGTTAAAACCACACTCCATGTTTCTACCTTAAACATGTAGGGTTTCGACTTTGTCATCACTAGATCCAATCGACTCTTTATTCATCAACTCTTTTAAGAATAAAGATTATTTCACATCTTCCATTAAGATAGATTCTCTTCCATATATTATAGTTTCCCTGAAGTGCTTGTAAGTGGCAGTAAAGAACATAACAATAACAAATCTTGATCTTTATCTTCTACCTTCATATCTGCATTCTCCAAATACATAATAATAGAATTGAATTCATGACGATGTGATTTAATAGATGTATCTTCCATCATGTGAAGCATAAACAATCTTTGTTTCAGGTATAGTCGGTTGGCGATGGTTTTCGTTATGTAAAGAGATTCTAATTTGAGCCGTAGGTCTGCTTTGGTCTTCTCATGTACAATTTCCCGAAGAACCTTACTCGACGAATACAATTGGGTTGAAGTTAATACCTTTTTATCCATCTCAAACTTTTCATCATTTATTATAGGTGCCAGCAACTTATCTTTTCAGAACAAAATTTGTTGTAATCCTTGTTGAACAAGAATAGCCCATATCTTCACTTGTCAAAGACCGGAATTGACATCATGGTTAAACTGCTCAATCTTGTATTTCACAAACATCTTCTTTGCGCAGAAAATAAATCACAACTGGAGCTCTGATACCAGTTTGTCAGAGCAAGTGCACAATAAAGCAGAAATAATTACGAAGAACAAGCATGAGAATAAATGATAAGTAATCGTAAATATAGAGATTTATGCGGTTCACCCAATTTGGGCTATGTTCACAGTAGAGGCATTAGAGAAATTCCACTATCAAAAGAGAAAGAAGTACAAAACAAGGCAATATCCTAAACCCTCAATCTCTTCTATTCAAACCCTCTTGTTCAAAAAATCCAATCTGAATGTAAACTCTCTCTATTTTAATATATATGAGACCGCAATAGATCAGGAAAGAAATATCCAAAACTTGGCAGAAGTTGAAGATCAAAAGAAAAACAAATGGTTGAGATTAAATCATCAAAAACTGCAATCAGTATTGTAGCCATCGAGGTTTAACATGACCAATGATGATCTCCTAGAGTCCATCAATGGTTCTCTATAATCCATCGATGGTTCAAAATCTTGTTCTATTTTTCTCTGATTGTTCATTGTAACACATGGATGATCGAAGTGACCATTGATTGTCTCCTCTTGATCATTGATGATCCATTGCCTGAATTGAACAATTAAAGGGTTCTGAGGGATAATTTCAACAATTAGAGGGTTTTGAGGATCAATTTCAACAATCTCCTCTTTTGTAGTTATTTTCAAAACAACAAACTTGATGGACACATCCTAGATAGCTTGAAGAACAGGACATGGATCATTATACAGTATTTGTTTTTGATAATATTCAATTGTTGATGTTAAGTGATCACACAACTAGTTATATCTGTGGTTGGATGAGGTTATTGAGTATTGATGAGGGGCTGCTTTCTTCCCCGATTTTATGTCTTGTTCTTGAGTTGAGCGGCTGAAAAATTTGCACAAGTAGAAACTCATAAGAGAACAGGGCTTGGTTCCCCCATGGTTCCTCCGACGGTCAAGTTAGCTGGTGAACTTGAGTAGGGGAAAAATAAAGAACTATAAGAGTTCTTGTGTGTGCAATATCATATGCAGATAGCAGAACAGTTTAAGGTTAAAAGAGTTTATCCAAGAGAAAATCTTCAAAAATGAAGTTCGAAAAAGAATCAGAATCAGAATCCCCCCTCTGTAGAGCAGTACCTCTTATTTATAGTGATGACGGAGCGGCAGATCAGTCATTTTGGCCGAGCACAAGATGTCGGTGGCGAAGTATGAGCTGGCGGCTGCGTCAGTACCTACTTTACAAGTGATGGTTGGCCAATGGGGGAGGATCACTTCGGCATTAAACGAGAAGTGATGGACGGCTTGGCAGTGCCTACGTGGTCCGATGAGTCATGAAAGCTATTAGGGCTAGAGGCATGATGCGCCTGTCATGCATTAAATACGATGCTGACATGTTGCCAGAGAGAGAGGTTCGATGCAGGAGTTGTCCTTTAGCTTCGTCGAGAAGTAACGACTTTCGAGTCGTCATTGTGAGGTGTCCAGTAAATGGTCGAGTGGACTCGTGGCGAGTCGTCTTCGATAAGAGGGTCGACTGGTACCGCCTTTCAAGTCGACATTAAAGAATGTCGACCCGACAACTAGGCTAAGTCGGAATCATCGTTGGTCTTTAGCCGCTAACTTGATTGGGGCATAGCATGAAGTACACCTATCCGTTGCTTGGCTATGAGTTGCTTTTTGACGAATGGGAACACCATAACATCAATGTTTTAATCAAAATGTTTTAAATAATATGACATGATGATGTTGATGATTCCATAGGATATGAGCTCACGGAAATCAAATTGAGGGAGACAGTGATGAGATTAAAGAGGAGATGCAGAAGAGCACTATTGAGATATCGCCAAAGAAGCTGAAGAACTTTCTCGGGGCAACGAACTAATATTAAGTATGAAACTGCATGCCCACTCGATCAAGTTGAATAGCATCTGCATGCTATTCGTCAATTTGTTCTTTCTTTCATTTTTCTCATAAACATAGATGAGTTTACTATAAAGAATGCAGCGTGATGTTGATATCGCTTTTGATTGTAACTCTTTAAAAATTTGTCAATTTTTATTACCAATCAAATCTAGAAAAGTTAGACTAATTTGTATTCATTTTACTTTTTTGTATTGCATATGTTAACTATTCTGATACCACTTATTTCGTTTCTGAATCTCGTGTCACATGAATAACTGTTAAAAAATAAAAAATAAAAGGTAAAATTGTATATACTTGTAGGTTTCAACTTTTAAGCCAATGAAACAGAATTTCCGTTCACCATAAGCAATATGTAAAATAGCACTGCAGGCATACGTGAGTAATAAAGGATACAGTTCTACTTATAGGGAATCAATCCACCCTAAAACTCAATAAGTATTGAGCTATGATAAACAAAAGCAAGAACGCAAGTTTTAGAATTCTTTACAATCAAGTATTAACTCCAATATCCTTGTGCAATCTCATATTCCTTTCATGCCAAATGTTATACCAGAAGGCAGAACGAGCAATCTTTCCAACCAAATTAACATGAGATTTTCCGTTCCCATGAATAGCATACCATTGTAGCACCTGCTTCCAGTCATAACATTCTGCAACTGGAACTGCCAATCATAGTACTATTCCACACCTCACCAACAATTTGAAAGAGAAGAATAGTTTCCTCTTTTTGTTAGGGTATAAGAGTAAAAAAAAATTCATTCCGGGCCTATATACAACAATAGAACAAATAGGGGGACTAACTACAAATGCGGATGACAGTACAGTGTTTATCTGCAATTAATCATTTTAAAAATAAAATGAAAGTAAAGGGGTTGAAGAGAAGTTTAGGAAAAAATAGAAGCATCTTTTGTAATCTCTAACTGTCAAATTGGAAGGTTCGCATATTTTTGAAAATATCTGGGAGTGGAAGCATTTTTTTACTTCCCTAAATTGTATATAAGTTCATAAATTATGATGCATATTGATTATTTCTTACCAATGTAATCTTCAATCCTTACTATAATTTTAGAGTTTTGTTGTAATTGTTAAGAGATTTTGAGATGGTTCAAATCCCAATGATCATGAATTTCAAGTGAATTTTTTAAAAATTATGACCGCTATGCGACTCCATGGTTTGACCCATAAAAATGGTGCTCAACCTGTAAGAAACATATTATAATGTAAAATATAACTCTGACCATAACTTTGGAGTTTTAGTGGAATCATTAGAGACTTTGAGGCAACGAAAAAAGTCTGTGGCTCGTTTCAAGTTTAATAGAAATGAGTATCACTTACATAAATCACATATTATATATTTCTTTTCATGATTTACGAGTATACATATGAATAATGTTGTTTTTAGAAATAAACTTTGAGGCAAGGCAAGAAGTCGATCTGTGGCTTTTTTCAAGTTTAATAGAAATGAGTATCACTTACATAAATCACATATTATATATTTCTTTTCGTGATTTACGAGTATACATATGAATAATTTTGTTTTATTCAATAGTATTAGAAAAAGTTTTTCTTCTTCTCCTCGTTTTTTTGATATTCTCTCCAACTTGTTCCTCTAAAGAAAGCCTAAATGGAAAGAAAGGGAAGAGATTCTTATGCTTATGTATTACCTTTAGCTTTTGAAGCTTGGTAAAAGCTCAATCCTGATTCTTGCTTGCCAAGTGATCGATTCTTAGCCCATTAAATAAAATCCTGACGCACATAAAATTCCAATCTTTCTACTTCAAGACAAGAATCTCTAGCCTACATATTTTTAAACCTTTGTAGCTTTACAAAAATGAGAGACAAATTCTTCTTTCCGTAAAAATGTCGAAGCTCAAAATCCTGAACTTCCAGTACAACCTAATGAAGAAACTCCCTCTAAAGCCCGTAAAGTGGCTATCCATCAAAGACAGGCAAGTCTCCGACTCACAGCTCAATTTTCTACCTGATGTTGACGAAATGAGACGAGTCTTTCAAAAGATTGACACAAACGGTGACAACAAGATCTCCTCTGAAGAACTCATAAACCACCTAGAGGTTTTTGGAAAAGAGGATGCATCTACAGAGGCAAATTTGATCTTCAGTGTTGCCGATAAAGACAATGATGGATATATAAGCTTTAGAGAATTCATGGACATGCACAAGAGAGGGGTGAGCGCTAGCGATATCAGAAGCGCATTCTGGGTTTTTGATCAGAATCAAGATGGAAGGATTGATGCGGAGGAGGTGATGGAGGTGCTGAGCAAGATTGGGGAGAGGTGTACTATTGAAGAGTGTAGGAAGATGGTGAGGCAAGTTGATAAGAATGGGGATGGGTTGGTTGATATGGATGAGTTTATGGCTATGATGACTTGCAACATGAAGCTTATCTGATTGAGTGCATTGTAATTAAAGAGTTATAATAAATGTTTATGTTTACTTAAGTGCAATTTAATAATTCCATAAAATAAAAATAATGAAAAATAAAAACAATGAAAGTATAATCAATCTCAACAAATACATAGGTTTAAAGTGGTTCGGCGATGTGACTCCATGGGAGAAGAGGGAGAAATTCTTTAATACATGAAGAAGATTATAGTTCTCTCTTTTTTCTTGGGGACCCTTCACGATAGTATTTTTTTTCTCTCTACTTAACCATAATATCCCACTCTTTGGATCCACTGAGAAGTCTTATATTTATAGCCAAGGTTTACTAAAGAAAGAGTCCCTAGAAAATCTTAAACAAATGTGGTATGAATTGCATTTCAAAATTATAACAAATTTCGCAAAATACTACTCGAGCATCATCTCCGATTGGTGGTTTATTGCACAACCTGTGGCTGTGGCTGTTCTTGGAAGGATCTCGATGGGTGCCTATGACCACCGTTTAAATTTGTGCCTTTTTCACCTAATAGCAATACATGTTTAAGGCACTAGCTATCACGTGAAAGACGCTAGCGGGATCATCTGTTGCCTTACTGATTCCACCTCTTGCCAATTCATCACTTGTTTAACTCATCCTTCATATTGAACCTAGACAATATCCACGTTAATACAAAAGCTCAATCACAAGGATGATGGCAACAAACAGCCATGCTCATCAACACTCCGTACAAAACTGATGCGAAGCTAACAGAATACCAACGTACAAGAAATAGCGGAAAAAAAGAAAACGTGTTAGATCTAAGCTGCAAGCCGAGGGCGGGATCGTAAATAGGTTTGCTACAGTTATTTGTTAAAACACAGAATAAGCAGCAAAAATATAGAAAAATAAAAGCGAACAACCAAACTAAATATCAACCAAGAAACATGCCAGATTTTTATAGTGATTTGGATAATGATTCTACATCCACTCTTCCTTCACATGAAGGAACTTCTTCACTATGCCAAGAGTTCTCCTAAATAAGAATCTGACTCAATAAGCTTACAAAGATTGCACCCTTGAATCTACCCAAAACCAGTCATCTAACACACAATAGTTTGAGTATGCCGTAAAGCCTCAATTAATATACCCGCTTAAGTATGCTGTAAAACAAATAGCTTATCATATCTTGACCATGAATCTTGAGTTTGAGGATATTTTCAAAGAAGAATTGGTTCTGTTAGGAAAAAATTTCAGTCATAGGGAACCAGAGTTTAAATTTGAGACTAGCATATACTAGAAACACAAGAAACATACCTGACTTCAAGTGCTGCAGAAATCATTAAAATCTTGTAGTGTATATAATTTAAACACATCATTGAGTTCTTCATTTTAGACTTCTTTAATATTCGTAGTAGAATTTTTAACAATAAAGTAGGATTTGATATAGACTGTGAGCTTTTTATTTTTAACCTTTTAGTCTACAACTTTGCTCTTTGTTTCAAAATAATAATAAAAGAATTTACTCTTCTCTTGTGACGCCTCTAGGTTCACACAAAGCTGCAGTCAAAGGTGAAACCAGAGATGTCAAACCTGCCATGCACCCACACTTTGCATAAACATGTTTCACCAATCACAGTAATATCCTCTAGTAGCACCAAATAGAAGTACAGATACAAACAGGCAAAATAAGGGAATAAATGTAATAGACATGATATAGAAGAGATATCTCATAAATGAAAAGAATCATGTCTCAACTATAATACATCTGATATCTGAATAATGAAAATGCCTCAACATGAATCAACTAAAAATCATACTAAGGCACACTGTCTTTACAATATGAATATGAAACTCTAAAGTCTGGATAAAACTCAAAACTACAGTGGAGTCTCTACAAGTAAAAATACGCGACGGCGACTATGCCAGAACTCCGTCACCCTACGGCTCTCCGAAACTCCGAACTACCTGAAAAGTAATTTAAAAAAAAAGAATAACAACAAGAGTGTCAGAGCGCTACAGCAAGATTACCTCCATCCGCCCCCAAGGAAAGGGCTACTAGATTGAGTGACGGCTCTATCTATTAAGCATAGTCTACCTATATTCATTTTTCCCGTATCTAAGTAAGATTAACATTTAGAAACTTACAACACGAGACGTAGTACGTCGAGCGAAATAGTCCAAACAAGGAAACCCTCATGTATATACCATAAGTCTCAAATTATAGATATCTAAACATTAATACCGAACTAAGAAAAGACAATCTAATAAAACCAATAATTAGAAATCCATAACACGAGACTGGTACGTCGAGCGAAATAATCCAAACAAGGAAACCCTCATGTATATATCATAAGTCTCAAATTGTGAATCTCTAATCATTGATCCCAACTAAGAAGTAAAAAAGACAGTAAAAGAAATAAGATATCAACACATCGTATTTATAATATCTTCCACAATCACTGGAGAGATAGAATAAAATACCAACACATAATTTTGTATACTTTTAAAAGTAACGTATCTCAGTTATATAGTTCAATGATAAGTCGTATTCATAATCAATATCTGTCATACTTAGGCTATCAAGTAATTATCTCAGTGCAACGGACTACCCTGTAGGTATCCTGAACCGTGTACATGGCTCATTAGTCTCATCGCGATCACAGTGCATAACATGAGTACGGGACGGACTACCAAATAGGCATCCTAGAAATATGGCTCATTAGTAAATATAACATATCTTTCTCTATACAAATTCTTTTTAAGAATGGTTTTCTGTTTTAGAAACTAGATACATATATCTTTCATTTAAAATTGGTTTGGTTAAATTTGGAGTTTGTTTGCTATCTTAAACTCTCAATTAAAGATTATACAAGTGCTGTAGTTTTCTGCAGAAAAACATATATATAGTACATCACTTAAATTTCTCGTATATGAATAAATTATGAAAAACCCTAATGATCATGATCATGATACTATCATAAAAATCAAGAAAAGATTATTAATCTAGCATTTGTTTTAAGGTTTACTATCAAAAATCTGACTTTTAACACCTCAGGTTAATATTAAAGCATGAAAACACATATTCAATATCATATTAATCATCTACACTAGTTATTTAACTATGGAGATAGGTTTGGATGAAGATAATCTTGCCTCAAATGTCGTTCTAAGCCTCTGAGATAACCAGCAAGTAATTAGAAGTGAAAACAACCCGTTTTCTCCTTGCTACACGTCGATGATCTCGCCCTTGTGTCGATATTTGCTTCACAAAGCTCTCAAAATTCTCAATTTTAGGGTTAGAGCTTTAGAGAGAGGAATAAGGACTACTAGTGTTTGAAACATTGATGTAATGGTGATAATTTTTATGAAAACATAAGTATATATATATATATATGCAAACCCGAAATAAACTTGTTTGACCCAAACAAGGAAACCTAGTCTGACTAGGAAAATAACCTTCGGTATTTTGATAATAACTTTCGCGTTCGATCTCGGAATGAGGTGATATAAGATTTGTTAGAAAGCTGCTGAAAAAACCTACAACGTTGGTATTTTGAGTTTTCCACGATTCTAAGTGTATCATTGTGTAAAATCTATAAACTCTTAACTGGTCATTTTTCCCAGATTTTTTCTCGTGCATGTTTTGTGCATTTGCACTCATATATTCATATATATATCGGATTGACCTCAAATCAATTCCTAGCATACTCAAATATTAATAAACATTATTTATTATAATATAACATGTTTATTATTATATCTCACAACATTCAGTATTACGGGGTTTTACATCTCTCCTTTGAGTGTTTCTTGTTCTTTTGAAAAAAATAAAAAAAAACAAAAGAAAATAAAAAGGGAAAGATGAAAAAGAGGAAAATAGAAAAAAGAAAAAAGAAAAAAGTTTTGAAAGGAAAAATAAGAAAAGTGAAATCTTTTGGCCACATCCTCATCTTACCAAAGATAATTGCAGATTTTTTATCATTATTCGAGGTCATTCGAACAAATATAAGTACTTTATTTTCCAATTTTCTTTACTTTATGCATAATAAAGTTTGCATGGAGGACAATGTAAAATTTAGGTGTGGGGGTGGGGACTATTTCATCTTTTTTCTTTTTTTATTTCATATTTTATTTTCCTTTCATTCCCTTAAAAAAATTAACTTGTCAACTTGATAAAATTAATTAATAATTGATTTGCTTGATAAATTTAAAAATTCCAATTCCTAGTTGTTATGGTGTTCTCATTCGCTAAAAGTGTAAGCTCATTTCCAAGTAACGGACAAGTGTGCTACATGCTATGCCTCAATCAACTTGGTGGCTAGAGACTAGTGGGGACGACCATTCCGCCGACTCGACGACTCAACAATCCTTCATGTCGACTCGAAAGGCGGAACTTGTCACCTCCCTTTTGTCGAAGAGGACTCGCCACAAGTCCATTTGACCATTTTCCAGACGCCTTATGAAGCTGATTGACTTGAAAGGCGTTACTTCTTGCCAAAGGCAAAGGACATCTTCTACTGTAGGCGTCAAAAACTACTTATAGGTTCCCGCATGCAGCTCGAAATAGAAAAAAGATGATGAACATTATTATCCAAGTCAACAAGGATTATCTGATATCGTAAGGAAGCTAACAAGTGCATGAAGCGAGTTGACGAAACATACGATTTAATGGGACAGCAAAATAGCGAAGAAACGACTCGATATGGAGTTTTGTTTCACCGACGAAAGGTAAAGTGCCACTCATGTCTCAATCACTCCAAATGTGTTTCTCCTAGATAAAATTGTAGATCTCTTCGCCAGCTTTCCAACGCATCTTGAATCACGTCATTCCGAGATCGGATGGGAGAATTAGAGGTGAAACAATAGAAACGCACAAAACGGCGTTTCGACCAACGGCCAAGACACCACTAGTGTCTCGGTCAAGGCTGAGACACCATTCTTGTCTCACACCCAAAAATCCTGTTTTTGCCTGTATAAACTCTTAAAAACCTATTTTTCAATAGGATTTCAGGATTCCTTTAGTCTAGAGCCTCTCCAACTGATTGGAGGCTATCTTTGAACGTGGTTAAGTGATTAT